GAGGTATTGCTGTGCTGTGTTGTACGTACCACGAAGGGTGGTGTGGTGGTGGAAGGTGAGAATGAGGTATAAGAAAAGGTGAGGTCAAGGTGAACATTGATGGGCACGTTCCTCACCGTGAGGGGTTCGTGCACTGTCCAGGTACATAGCCGGTTACTAAGGTCAATCGTGTGCCACGGAATGGGTAGCGAGGAGTGATGACAAGTTCTCGCTTTTACACTTCGCTCGTTTATTCATCAACTATCCCGTAGCACAGTAGATTAATGAAAGTTGTGACCGTCATGTTCTTAGGAACAATGTTAAACCATAGAGAACGCAAGTAAATGTCATTCACAACTCCGTACAGCGACCCTAGGCTGTTAGTTGCTTACACATACATACCAAAGCAGTCGCGTCGTCCGAGGCCAATGTTGATGACTTCTGTCGTAGCCAACCACTTAGGCCTGCGTATTTGGGTTACTTTTGCAGGGATTAACGAAGCCACAGTGGACGACGATAACGTTGACAGTCAACACCTTGCCGTCTTAGGCAGGTTCTTCACAATCTATAACCATGTTCGCATGATATAAGAGGGAAGAGTCGCCAGCTTGGTGTGCCTGCCAGTGAAACCAGGGCCAACTCTTGGAGGTTCCCAAAACATCTCACGATACAACAGCGAACGCTCGCAGACATACGGTCGAGTGCTAGAGACTGTTCAACAACTGATACCTTTTCAAAACGCCACGATATCTACAGGTCAATATGCAAATTGAAGTAACTCTTCACAACGACGCCATCAACAAAAACTCTGTCGATGATAAAGCTTCCTACTATGGAATCCTCGCCGATGTTTTGATTCCCGGCCGTGGTGAGCCTCTGAAGAACGGGGCATTGGTGGTGAAAGACTCGGTTATTGAGTGGGTTGGGCCAAGCAACGACATACCCTCAGAATATTCGTCAATTCGTTTCTCGCGGGTGCCGGTGCTTATGCCGTGAGTGAACTTTTTTCTTTCAGCCTTGTCAACTTGTCAAGCCATTTAGCAACTGCTAACGACAAGACAGAGGCATGTGGGATGTACACACACATTTCGAGGGTGTCGGCGTCGCAATGGGCATCAGAGATAGCATGAAGCCTTTCTTACCCGGGACAGCCACGCTCATTGGGGCAGTGATTGTCGACGACATGCGCCGAACGCTCATGGCGGGGTTCACCTCGATCCGCGAGCTCGGCGGCTATGCTGGGGATGTTGCACCCGCTATTGACATGGGCGCCATTGTCGGCCCTCACGTGTACGCGGCCATAAGCATACTTAGCATCACGAGCGGCCATGGAGATATTCAGGATGCGCCCCTCCGGACCGTTTTGGATGCTTGCGCTAATGGCTCATCATCGTCCTTCGTTTGTGACGGCGTGGACGGCTGTATCAAAGCTGTGCGGCAGCAGATCCGACGAGGCGCCAAGGTGATCAAGGTCTGCTCGACGGGCGGCGTGCTTTCGCTGAATGACCAGCCCGAGGACACGCAGTTCAGCCCGGAGGAGTTGCGAGCCATTGTGCAGGAAGCCAAGCGGAGCAGCCGAGTAGTAGCCGCTCATGCCCACGGAAAGCCCGGTATCATGGCGGCTCTGGAGGCGGGAGTTAAGAGCATCGAACATGGCTCGTACCTGGACGAGGAGGTTGCCGCCAAGATGAAAGAGAAGGATGCCATTCTGGTCCCTACACGCCACATCGTCGAGGGCATAACTGCTGGTAATGACGACCTCGATCCACGGCAAAGAGCGAAGCTGGAGCGAACCGTGCAGCTGTCGAGAGACAGCATCAAACTGGCTAACCGGATGGGGGTCAAGATTGCCCTGGGGACAGACACTTTTAGCAGCGACAGGAATCATGCGGTAGCCCACGGGAAAAACGCCATGGAACTTCGCTACGCCATTGAGGCTGGGATGACTCCTCTTCAGGCCATAGAGATGGCAACCGCTACTCCTCCTGAAACCTTGTGAGTGTTGGATATCGTCGATGCTGTTATGTAGCTGTGGCTGACAATGGTCCGTCACTTTCCAGGGGTCCTCAGGCTCGAAAGTCGGGCCAGCTCAAGGCTGGTTATGACGCCGACTTGATCGCCATCTCGTCTAACCCGCTTGAAGACATTGAGATTTTGATAGATCCGGATAACATCACCCACGTGTGGAAGGGAGGCGTGTTGTTCAAGTCCCCTCGATAATTATGTACCGAGTCAAGATGCATCAGTTGGATAGACTTTGGGAAATTGATATCACGCACGTGAAGGGTTGAATGTTGGGAGCGCGTTGTTGATGGGATGGAACCAACTCCGAAGCTCGAGAAGAAGTCCACGAGGTGACATCGTGCAAGTAGCGCTACCATCGATCAGCGCACTTGCAGTGCTTGGGTGCTTGCAGTGGAGACAGAAATGCGGGGCTGACCAAGGCTTCTCACGTGATCTGAGCTTTCACCTCAAAGGTTTCCGAGTAGAGGTATACATAGTATTTTTAAGTCCAAATTGTTTGCAAACCAATGCTGTACCAGAGATCACCTCATGCCGCCGACAAGTTTGACAGTATAATTTCCAAATCTGACGAGCCACAAACTGGGTGACTGCGGATTACTTGCGAACAGTAGTGCGGGACAATAACTATCGGTTCGGATTTCTGCACTCGTCCAAATTCCGAAGCCGTCCGTGTCCGTCACTTCAGTTGAGCTGCCGCATTTGTCACCACATTGCTGACAAAGCATTCGGCCGACGACCCGCGGCCGCGACAAAGGAAGAGAGCACTGTTCGCTGCAAGGTCCCGTCCAGTGCAGTCGCCATTGCCTTGACTGGGAGCAACTTGAACTTCTCAAACCAAGAACGACAAGCTTGAACGTAACTTTCAGGGTCAGTCCTGCAGTGGGTTTGTGTGAATGGGAATCTGCAGTGACTTCGAGGTTTGAGCAAAGCCAAAACTTTTTACCGAAACACTCCAGTCGGCAATCAGTTGTCACCCAGGCAGTCCCATTGCAACTCCCTTGTCGACCGTCCATCTCCGCCCACTTTTCCCACTTCCTCTGGATCCGATTACATACATACTCCAACCATACTATACTATTCCATCTTTCCTCGGCCGCTTTGCTGAGTCAACTTACACATCCAAGTTGCTTCCAACAGCCACACCACATCGCACCACAGCAGCTCCACGCCTCCAGCTTTGAGCCTCGCTCCCATCCACCCTCCCTTGCGACGCTATTCAGAGGGCGCCGTTGCGTGTTACCGCACCATCATCCACTCAGCAGACAAGCTGGTCGAGATCTCCGGAAACCCTCACAGCACTTTACTGGGCACCTTTTCTCACACGGGACAGATTTCTCATCACTTGCTGAACTGGGCCCGATAATCGCTTCAACAATTGGTTCAACTATCTCAAACCTCGGCGCCACTTTTGATCCTACCACTTGACCTGACCCCGTCATCTTGAGGGTGTTTTCTGCATCAATCCCCATAAGGCCATCATCACAATCTGCACAAACCGTAGAGGTAAAAGCCCGCACCAGGTTGGTTTGATACATTGCTGACATCCAGCCCCGGCTTCTCAGAAAGTGTCCTGCGGTTACACCAAGTACCTAGCACAAAGGCACAAGATATCTGCCCACCTGTACCGCAGTCTATAGTCCCCGGTCTGCGGAGCGGGCCTGCTGTACCACTTGCGGACCTAATAGTTCTGGTAAGCGTTACAGTCACATAGAGAAGCATGTCGACAAACCTCGAAATGGGTGAGTGCTTTCCCATCATCTGTTAGGTTTCCAGCCCCTGCCCTATCGTCCAAGCCGTCATATATTATTTTCCATGCCGATCAAGGCCACGAGTCGAGTTTTGGATACCCGACAACATGCAAGTGCTTACAACACTTCTCACTCTCGGGTGGGGTACTTTGCCATGTTCCCAGATTTGAAGAAGGCTTGTTTCTCTCTCTTGAGATACTATCTAAAGGTTCTCGGAAGCACCTCAGCTGCACGGCAGACAATCGTGGTTTTGGTTCAATCATGTTGCGGCCAAATCGAGGATTGTCAGCACATCCGGTCCTTAAGCAAGGGTCGCTCCGAGCCCCGTCTTCCTCATCCCCGTCCTATCTCATGTTACTGTTCGAGTATTGGAAGTGTTTCTAGGCGTTATACGCCTCCTGGACATAAACCCTTCCTTCACCTTGGCTCTCGTTCTTTCACTGCCCATCAATCCTCTACTATTCTTTTACGCATAAAGCTGGAGTTCTTGGTCTCTGTAAGGGCCTGAGAATGCGAGACCAGTGGTCTTGCATCCCACCTGATTTACGTAACTCACCCTGACGAGGTTCGTGATCTTGTCACTACCCCTATCACTTACATGCACCTCTCCTTCACGCTCGCGGCCATCTACATGCGCTTCGACCACTCATCCCACGTATCAACCAAAATCAAGCCAACATCAACAAGACCGGCTAGTTGGGTTATGTTCGGCTGGAGGTTGTAGATACATCTAATCTCTGCCTGCCAGCCGTCGCGGCCGCTTCCATACACATTTAAAACCCATGCGCTCTCTCTTTCCCTTCCAATTTGAAGCTCAACCAAGCTCCTATCTGTCACTGCACCCACGATATTGGCCTTGTCGTCTCCAGGAGCCAACAACACACTGTTTGACTACCTTGACACAATTACTTCAATCGTTCACTCCTGCATCACACGCTATTCTTTTCACGATGTCCTTTATCTTCTTCAAGACCATCCCGACCCAACCCTAAGCCACTGCTTGGGATATACTGACACCATCTATCCATCCAGAGCCGAGGGCTCGCGATTCACCGGTTGAGCCTGTTCTAGCAAATAACCACACCGACCAAGCCGCCTACCAAATCGCAGCTTACCCAAATCACCCAACTTCGCCTTGTGGCGGACAAGGAGGAAGTCGGACCTCGCCCATAGCAGCAGCACCACCAACTCTGCCCCATGGATACAATCATCCACCAACTGGCCCACACGAAGCACATTTGCACCCGGAATTACGAACTCACGAGTCAGGCCCCACAAACGGATATCAACCAGTGCCCGGAATGATGCCTGTTGGCGTCCCTCCCCAACCCGAGCAACAAGGTGCCATGCCTGCCCCCAGTACGCCTGTTGGTGTATCACAAATGGGAATCGTGAGTCCGGGCGATAGCGCTGGTGATGGTAGGAAGTCCAAACGAGAACTGTCACAGTCGAAGCGCGCTGCCCAAAACCGCGCCGCACAGGTCAGTAGTCCCCGATCCCTTGCGTTCTGGAAGATTGGTAAGCTTAGTTGTATGACCGATGCCGCAATCGCATCATCGGCCTGCATCTGGATTAGTCGCAATGGCGTGACGAAGGCCAACATGCAATACTGCAATACTGCTAGCAGTCGTTCAGCTGCGACAACTTTCCAATGTATCGAGCTAATCATGGGCTACTACTACAGAGAGCATTTCGTCAACGAAAAGAAGGTTACATCAAGAAGTTGGAGCAACAAGTCAGAGATTACAGCGAGATGGAAATGAGCTTCAAGGCCCTGCAGAACGAAAACTTCGCGTTAAGGGACTACATTCTTCACCTGCAAAATCGACTCATTGACGTCCAGGGTGACTACCCACAACCTCCTCCGAACATCAGCCTAGCAACCCCCCACACTCAGCAACTTCAGCAACAGCAACCGCCTCCACCACCCTCCGTACCTCACGGCATTGCGCCTGATCCAGTCCAAGCTGTACAGCAGGTTCCTCCCGCTACCAGTGCTCCGTCGGCATCCTTGGAGGAAGCCGCGCAAGCCGTAGCCGGCCTGAGCCGAAGTGACCACCACATGGGTGGAACTTCCCGGGATCCCTATAATACGGCGGCATCTCGCACAGATGAGGACGCGAGGACGGCGGAGGTGATTCAGAGGCAATTGCAGGCGGATAACAACTCAGGCATGCCGGATGGCCTCCCACTTCAGCAAGCAGCTATATAGGAAAATGCTGGCACAACAGATTAAATGGTGGAAAGTATGGGTCTGCAAACCAGTGTCGATGGCCAATCTGTTGTCGAGCTGTGGTTCGGCGTTCTTATACCGTCTATTCTTTGGACTTTGGTTCTTGGCTTTGTCACTTCACCATGGCGTTGCGGGTTGATCTCTATAATTCGAAGTCGTTACCTTTCACCTTTGGATTAACTTGGTGATTTTTTTGGTGCAGAGTGATCCTTGTGTCTAACCGATAGGAAACACGAGGCAAATGTCACCATGTAGAAGTTCGGGCGTTGTGTGTTGGCGTGTGTGTTTTTGCGTGTGTATAAGCTTCTAAAATCACGTTTGAATGACGAAGGAAGACCACGTAGGAGTATAAACACCTTCATCTGGGCGCATTAAGAATAAGTCTTGATTAACAGGGGTACTGGGAATAGATAAGAATAAATATCAGAACCAAAGGAACCCAGCCGTGCCCTTTCTCTGTCATATCGTGCTTCCAAACATATATTTCAACGGCCACAAAAACATGACTTTGGTGCTTCTCATGACGCCACAGGATATGTACCAGTGTTTCCGCTCCATCACGATATTCATATGGACACTCCTTGTTAATATTCTGCATTCTTCGCTACATCCAGTCTAGGTAGACAGGCGTGCAAGTCGTTTTGTCATCTGCACAAAAAGGGAAGGACGGAACGTGTCGGGGAAGGGCATTCACCTACTGTACCTGCCTGACGGCCCTTATCAAGTTGGAAGGAAGGTCCCGCCTCGGAGGAAGGACTTGGTGTATTTATGGAGAAGGCAATACCCGGGTGCAGGAAAAATACTATTGCCAACCAGAAAAGGAAGCAATGAATGATTCACTTACGGAAGCAGGCCAGCAATGGCCGAAAGAGGATGCCGGGTTTGAAGCAAGGAGATGAACGAGGAATGGGTATGTAGTAATCATTGGCTTCCAAGTTTCTCGACTCTCTTTTGTTTTGGCTCGTAGGCAAATCTCTTGGGGCATGTAATAACGATTTTAAAACAAAGACAATTGGAAGGAAATCGAAAAACCGACCAGGTAGGTGACTGGATATCAATGCAAAAGATTCATGTAAAGGAAACATTATCAATATATTTCGTAGGATACATACACTAGGTATTAAGGTAAAGTCGTACCAGACAACTTTTTCTTCCTTTCCTGCCCACTTGCAAGATATAGAAAGCACTCCGCCTGGCCCTGGCCTGCCCTGTCCTCTCTTCCAGCGCTACTCCGTCATGCAAAATAAATACAAAAGAGAAGTTCTAAGTGGTGTATGATGTACTGTTTTTCCAGAATCAAAAGTAAAACAACTAATATCGCTTCTTTAGCCACGTCAACCTCCTTTGCTCGTAATGCAAACCCTGAACAACCTTTTGAAAGATCCGTGATAGATCACGGAAAAAGGACTCAGAGAACTAACCAGCGGCCGCCACTGCAGCCCCGTCGTCAGACTAAACACTGACATATCTCGCTTCAGCCGTTTCCGGCATCATGAGTTGTTCCCGGCTACGACCGCGGCCTTCGGCTTCACTCCCACCCCCACCTTCACACCATTATCGTCCCTAACGCTGTCGGGGAATTACTCAAATCCGCTACATCTCTCGTCACAATTTTCACCCTCTCACTCTTCCTATACCTAGCCAACACCTCCTTGAGCAACCCACTCCCCGCAGTCCCCGGAGTGACAGCCCCATAAGTAGAACGCGCCAAGCAAGGACTGTTGATAAAGAGTTATGCCGGTGGCGGCGCCACCAACACCGGCGTAGCCTGCTTCGTCTCCGCCACACTGTCTAGGTCATGTGTCGTCGTCGTCAGCTTTGGTGCCGCCCCCGGCCCTCGCGCCTTGAGCGTTCCCGCGCGCGTGATGGTGATTTGGTTGGCTTTCACAGAGCGCGAGCGCTGCAGGGAACCGGCGCTGACGGAGGCGCTGCGGGCAAGGGGGGTCGGAGGTGGTCTTCCCGATCGTGACTGGGTGGGGGGCTGCGAGGGGGAGCGTCGTAGTTGCTGTCCAGATGGCGGAGGAGAAGATGGTAGTGTAGACGATGCACACGATACAACCCGTTTCGGTCGGGCGCCGGCGCGGCGGGAGATGCTGATGGTGCGGGCGACGGAGATCTCGACGGCGGCTTTGACAATGGGATTGGCTTCTTCGGCTTCTTCCTCGGCGGCTGCGGCGAGGTCGACGGAGGGGGAGAGAGTGTGGCCTTTGTGACCAGGTAAGAGGGGGGAAGAGGCTGTGGGAAGGGACGGGCTTTCGGGGCTAAGGATTGGAGGTGAAGTCGTTTCTGGCATGGACGACTGCGGCGGCGGTGAAGTGGGTGAGCGTGTTGACAGGACTGAAACCACTTCCCGCGGTTCGGGTGGCTGGTAGACGGTTGGTTTGAGAAGGAAGGGGCTGGCGATTTTCGGCTCGTTCGACTGGCGACTACTCGAGACGTCTAGAAATTGTGCTGGTGGGCTCTTAGGGGTATCGAGCATGAGGGTGGAATCTCCGGGCGCGAAATGGGAGTCTTTGCGTGGGGGGAAAGCCTGTTCCGATTTGGACTGATGCTGTTGCTGTTCTTCCCAAACTTCCGGTTTTCTGGGGGTGGCAGAGGTGTTTTCGTCACCAGGAAGATACTCTGATTTGCCCTTCTGCTGCGGTTGAGATTCTTGGTAAGAATGTTGCGGTTGCTGCTGCTGCGCTTCCAGGAACCTCTGCTTGTGATCGGCACGTTCCTGCTCTTTTATTGTCCGCGGCGAGATTATCGGCACTCCCTTTTTCTCCCTACGAGGGGGAGGAGCATCCAATGGCTGCAAGTAGTCAGAAAAACCATCTACCGTTGGTGACGGAATAACGGCTGGCGACGAGTGTGCACGTGATCGAGGACTTGGGGGAACAGCAAGTTGTTGACGGCCTGGTAATGGTGGTAAAGTTGAAAAAGATGGTGATCGTGTCGGCTGGGGCGAGCTTGCCCTACGGAACTGTTTTACCTCCTCTTCGCGTTGAGCCACGGCCCTGTCGTTGACGGACTTGAGCTTTTCGAGCGTAGCCTGACGCCTCTCCAGGAGTGTCATTTTGCTGTTTCTTTTTTGCTGTTGCGGGTTCAAGACTCCACTAAACATGACGCTGTATCGATCCAATGTGATACTCGGAATCTCCACGTCAAGTCGTAAGGGAGCACTAGTCTCCGAGTTGGGCGCAATACTCCGTGATCGGTCATTCCAAGAACTTACTGGAGGCACCGGCGGTGGTGGTGGCTGCCTCCGCTGCCGTGGCTCGACAGGCACAGTAGTTGTTGGGAGATCTGTATTCGACCTAACGAGTAGTGGGACATGCTTTTGTCCCTTTTTCCCACTGATCGCGTGGTTCCTCGGTGGGACGGCACTGCCAGCAGCTTCCCGTCCACTGCTTGTTGACGACAGAGAAACCGCAGAACTGTTTGCAGAAATGAGGTCGGCAGCCTTTGCTGTATTTGACTGCTTTCCCCTCCCGAACAGGGCTCCGAATATTCTTTGTCTCGTCGTCTTTCGTCTCTGAAGAGGGGGTGCTGGAGGCGCTGTCTGAAGCACCATTTGCGGCGCTGCTGCTGGCGGTGGCGGTGGTGGTGAAGGAGTCCTTCGAGGTGGTGTGATGCTTTGTGGTTGCCATGAGCTGGGTTGAATTAAGGAGGTTTGCGAAGGGCTTCCCAGAGCCATTCCGATCGGAACCTCCATTGAGGTCATGAAGGATTCGTGGCCAGTCATAGGGGCTGGAGCTAGAAACGAAGTCATACTGGATGCTGCTGCTTGATCCGGACTCGCCTCTGGCGTTGGCAGGTTTCCACCTCTGATATCCATCACGTATGGTTGCATGCGTAAGGGATTCAGCCTTTCAGTCCCCCTCCACCCATCCACAGTGAGTAGCATGTCGTCCCTCGACTTGCGTTTCTCACTAATTGACCTCGAACTTGCTGACCTGAAGGATCCAGGTCCAGCCGAAGTGCTTGGTCGATGCGGCATGACGGCTATGGCAGCGGCGACAACGTCGGGAGTGAGAACCTGGCGAGACAGACGACGGACGAGATAGGGTTTCCATCTGCCAGGAAAGGAGAAGTGGCAGACATTGCGGTTTTGAGTAGGACGGCCACGTCCAGTTGCGTTGCGTAGGGCAGAACCTGACACAAAACCTGGTCCTGGGATGAAGGAGGCCCATGGGTCATGGCCGTGCACAATAATACCCTCGTTGTTGACTCCTGGATGGAGCCCACGATGTCGGCCAAAACCCTGGGGGAGGTCGATTGGTCTGGGCCGCTTAGCCCCTTTCATCGTGGTGCCCGCTGTCGTCATGCCTTTGGCAGTGGGCTCCAGGCCTTGCGTCCGCCGCTAATATCGCTAGGTGCCCTGGCTCAACCACGGATGTCCACCGATGGTACCTGGATAGGCCGGGTAGGACCCTGAAATGTTTGTTTCGAATTATCGTCTGGGAATCGTAGCAATCACCGAAGGCGAAATGGCGGAGCGAATTGAGAAGGAGGAATCACCTCACCGGCATTTGAGCTAAAGAAGGACGCTGCCGACCCAAAGAGAAGAAGGATTTAAAGGAGCCATCCTGGTCACAATATCCAGGATGGGTGAATGCCAAAGGTAGTGGCGCGCTTAACAAAGCTATATTGATGAGGATATAAAGGAGACAATTACCTAGAGCCTCGGATGACTTTGTTGTGTTAGCAAGCCTTTAACGCCAGCCCAAAAGCCATCCGAGGATCGCATGAAAGCTCGTTGGCAGGCTTTGATCGAGCGCAAGCATTCCCGTGTTCTGGAAGGCCATTGTCCAACCAAGATGGCCGAGGCCCTTGATGCTTTTCCCAGTGAGGTTGATCACCGCCAGGGATATGGCTCAATATTGCCCAAATCATGAAGATGAATTCTTGGAAGGAATCTGGGGTTGATGATAGAGGAAAGAAAACTGACGAGCAGGTGGAGAGTTGTCGAGGCTTCCCTTGTCCAGCATTGGACAATCTGGAACAATAAGTATGTGTGTTACAATGCAAGGGGCGCGACAGATCCACTTCCAGGGCTATCCTAGCATGGCCTTCTTCGGCTGCTTCCCGGCTTGGGCGTGTCTCATGTTGATGACTCCCACCGTGTACACTACTCCAACGATGGTTCGGACTCGGGAACGGGGAGAGATGCGCCATGATCGGGATCCTGGTCTCCATAAAGGATATGAGGCTGCCCCAAAGAGGATTGGGGCACGCCGAAACCAATCCCAGGAGTTGCCTCGATAGACCATGCTGGATCATGTCTAAGTCGATATTGCAAAGGATGTGTAGCCATTATTAGCCTATGCTGTGTTTGGAGTTAGCGGACAAAGAGGGAGGCGTCGTTCGATCTGTGAACGAGACCCTAGCATCAAACAACCGCAACAATGCCACGACATGTCGTTGGTTTCGCCGCATCTTGCTATTTGCTGACTTGACGCCGCCGTGGATGTCGAGATTGTGAACCGTATCAAACGATGCCTCGTGCAGATGTGGAGATGACGATGAGATCCCGTCCGTCCTAGCAAACTCGCAAGCTTATCAAGGGGGGCTTCATTGTGCTGAGAGCATCGGATTTGGGTGATGACTGCCTTGTCCTTGGTAATGACTGTCGAAGTAGTACGAAGTATGCGGTGTATCTTACATGTGTACGTCTTTTACGATGTTGTCAGAACCAGGCTTTAGATTCTCAGGGCAGAAATTCCAATGTCCACCGGCGTGCCAAGACGTCGGTTTAATGATGTTAAAAGGGGCCGGTTATGAATCCGAAAATGTCGAGGCTACGTCTCAAAGATGCACAACTCCAGTCAGCGACAGCCTGCCTGACTGGAACCCTGGACATCATACACCCTTGAGTCAAGATTCGTATGACATAGGAGCTGCCGGCTTGAACAGGTAACCGTTGGTTTTCACCATACCTTTAGATAGGTAGCTTATACCTCAGGGATTTGTGCCTGTTGTTGGCGCCTTGGTCCCGTCGTCTCTTTGTTGAAGTTTGTCATGTTGGATGAAATGGAGGTCTAGAGGAAAGAGGTGCTGAATGGATCTCTGATTCGCCGTGCACTAACCGACATCCACGAGGCAAGCCGAACGCTAGAGCATGCGTCTGCATTCAAGGAGCTCCGCTTGTTGTTGGGACGACAGCGGGATGGATCCGAATGCTTGACCCTCTTGGCGTCATATGCAAACTGTTTTCTGTGCTTTCCAACCCCGTCATCGTCTTCACTGATGCATGCAGACAACGGCGTACTTTGCTGCTCCTCTTTGTTGAGATGAATGAGGGGCATCGGAGCAATGAACTCGACATGGTGTTGGGGCACAGCATCAGAGAAGATGGCCGTCCGTCAGAATATCTTCATACTGTTGTTGATGTCAGACTGAAACGTCGAGACTACGACAGCAAACTCTTCTTGCTGTCCGTCTCGGCGGTCAATGAGGCGGAATGGGGTCGTGGAATTCCATGGCCCTGCAAAAGAACGGTGAAGAATTCCAAGTCTGGATGAAGAAGAAGCTGCCACCTGTTTGTTGAAGAGGGGCCCACTGTTGACCACTTCGGTTGCTCCCGTCGATCCAGCTTGGAAATGCCGCTGGGAGTCGATGGAAGGATGCTTGGTCTTAGAGGCTGTCTGCTAACAATCATCGTGTTGAGTTTATACGATCGTATGTTAAAGAGATACATGCCCAAGTATCACCTGCCGAACCCCTCCGCGACTCCGAAGAGGTCAACGTCCAACTTCCTTCGGCGGGGCACCTCGCTGAAGTGACGAGGAGGAGGGGCCTGGCTGGTGAGGGGGCTCCTCTCAAGAGCTTCCCTTTCAATCCACAACGGGAATCCACAACCACCAGGCACCGTTACCCGGCCCCATTCACCAGCTGGCCTTCGCTGGCTTCCCGGTTTAGCCCACTAGAACCCCAGGACCAGTGAGTCGTTCCCCTCCACTGTCATGTCACCGCTTCCCCTTTTCGCATCCAATCCATAGAGGTATCCAGTCGCCGCTCCGCTATCTTCCGCCGCCGCTTAGCCCCCCCAAAGACTACCGGCCCCCCTCCCCCCTTTGCCAACCGGACCGCGTTTGTTTGGGTTTCCCTTTTTTTAATCCTGCCCGAAAGCCAGCTTCTTCGTCGTCGTTGTCTGTCGATACACTCCTCCTCCAACTCAACCACCGAGTCCTTTCCATCACACCAACATCACACAAATCCCGACAAAATGTCCTGGCAAGGTCAGTGCCTGTTTCCGCCTGGGCCCTCTTCCCGTCCTTGGGAGCTGTTTCACGCCCAACCCCACCTCGACGGAAGCTGGGAGAACAAGCAAGCTAACCCCGAATGTCTTGAACAGCCTATGTTGACTCGAGGTACGATATACCATTGGAAACCACCCGAACCCATGAAAACAACGAATTGCGACGCCATCGACTGCTAGGGGTGTGATTGCCTGCGCCTGATGGCTGTTCGGCTTCGGCCCCAAGAATGCGGAGAACCACCTGTATATGGAAACGGACATGGACATGATGAGCTAAGACGTAATCTCCTACATATAGCCTTGTTGGCACCGGCCACATCGATAAGGCCGCCATCATCAGCGCCGCTGGTGACAGCACCTGGGCTGCGACTCCCGGCTTCACGGTACGCCTTGTCTCGCCAACTACCCCCGATTTCTTCCCGCGCCCTTTCCCTGCCCTCATCTCTGTCTCTCCTTCGGGCGCATAAACGGTCGGACATCTACAATGTCCGAGAAATCCTGGTCTGGGAGGCTGTTTGCACCGGGGAAGCAGAGAGCGGGGTTGGAGAAAGAGATGGCGTGATAGGACCCCCCGACCATGTATCGGGCGCCAAAGTTCCAGGGAAAGCTAACAATCTGTGACGTATTATAGCTGAGCGCCGATGAGATGAAGTTCATCTCCGCCGTCCTCGGTGATAATGGCAAGGGCCCCAACGTTGACAAGGTTTTCGCCGAGGGTCTCCACGTTGCCGGTCAGCGCTACGTTGCCTTCAACATCGAGGGTCGTCACGTCTACGGTCGCCAGGTGTGTACTATCTCTATCCCGTTATCATGTCTCAACCTCTGCCGCCCGAACTTTAGTCGGCCGCGCTGCTCCAGGCATCCCCTTTCCAAGCCTCGCATGTTCAAGCTTACTGATGGTTTTTCTTCCCCCCAAAAATAGGGCAAGACTGGCGTCATCATCGTCAAGACAACACAGGCCATCCTCGTCGCCCACTACGGCGAGAACGCTGTCGCCGGCAACTCGACACAGACCGTCGAGGCGCTCGCCGATTACCTCATCAAGGCCGGATACTAAGTTATGTTGGGAGGTAGTGGAAAGAAGGATGAGATGATTGGATGTCTTAAGAGTCACTGAACAAGAAACAAATGAAAACGGGATGAAGACAAGGAAGACGAAGGATGGGAAGACGGAAAAGAAACCGAAAGACTTTCCTGTGAAGGAGTATTGGGGACTGGTGTACTGGATGGATGATATCCTTAAACAGGCATAGGCCCTTGGGAATTTTTTTTTCTGGAACTGACAGCACACTTTGGCGGAATTTGCCTTTCCATATGCCAGTCGAAGCTGCCGGTCGTGAAAAACGTTCGTCGTCCGTTGTGCATCATTGGGGTTATATAATATCGTGATTTTGTAGACAATCTAACCCCCCAAACCATCTATAGTATTTGATTCTTCCTCTCACAATTATGCATGAAAAGAAAGCCCGATACTTCCCTCTTCATATTACAACTTGGGTATCCCAAAGTTCGCTCCAACGCCGTTTGTGTGAATGTGCATGTTGATCGTGGGCATTAGACCCTTCATAGGCGTTCCCTCCCCTTTTCGTTTCACAACCGTCGTTTCTTCGTTCATGTTCCCGTTCGCCTCATATTCTTTCTTTTGCCCTCCTTTTCATAGCGCGAGCGCTGAACCTGTCTTGCGCCCGACCCTCCGATGTCATTCAACCGAACGGCAAAGCGAGTATTCGTGAGCTTTCGAAGAGCGGCGCCATGGCCAGACCATATCCTCGTTCGGCACGTTTGCACTATGCCACGGCGCCCTCGCCTTTTCCCCTCAACACTCAATCCCTCCATTTAAACAGGCAAATCCGCATTCTGCCTCGCCACCACACCAGACCGATCAACCGCGGTGCCGATATAAGGTCCAATAACAGGAATGTTGCGCGCGAAACCCGCTATCGTTCCCAGGAAGTCGCCAAAGAGGACCATAATCCCGTAAAGCTCCACGCAGAAGCCGATCAAAGGCCAGCGCATCAAAATCAAAGCCAGACCAGAGAAAAAGGCAGCCGTGCCTTTGGCCTTTTGCTTGCGTGCGAAGAAGGTGAAAGTTTTTTGGGGACCGATTATTATAGTTAGGCCGATTAGGAAGAGAATCTTTGTGGAGGTCAGAAGTGTTGGTAGGTATATAAACGCAGGAGAAGAAGAAGAAGATAGACAGCAGGGAGATAAGGTGAGAAAACAAAACATACATTGCCCATGGCAAGCATCGCCCGGTCAAAGAAGAGGAGAACACCGCCGATGAGGAAAAAGCCACCTGGTTTGAGAGTTCGTCCCGTCAGTTTATTTTGGTCCCTTCTTTTCCCAAAAAACATATAAGCGTGTATGTTCAACCCATCCCACGACAGACAGATGCGCAACGTTCGCGCGCCAAGAACTTTCAAATCATGGCCGGTGGCGCATCAATGCGCAAAGAGATCCAGCTCCCGTACATAATCGCTGCTAGGTAGGTCTGGCAAGGAGCTATACCGAGGTTCGGAAAGGAATATTTGAGGAGGGAGATTCGGGAACTAGGGATGGTGAATGCATACCGCCAGAGCAAAAGGCGACTCCAATTTCTAGAAAGAGAGAAAGACAAAGATTAGTATCATATACTCGCAGTCCGTGCCGTAGGCCATAGTCAGGTTGGGGGTTCAACTCACTTTGGGAGTCGGATAACCACATTGTAGGCATATTGATGGTGGTGGCCTGGAAGCTTTTTTGGGCGGGGCGGAAGATAGCTAGCTCAAGAGCTAGATGGGGGTTCGAGGCAGCGCGAAAAGAAGTGAAGAAGCGAAAATATTCGCCGATGAATTAATAAGATAATGTAGTATATAGTAAAGAGCGTAAATACGCTGACTTGTGAAAGTGCTGACTAGTAGTTGTTGCAAAGGCGATCGAAAACGGTCTCGTTCGACGATGTGCTAAGGTAAGATGCGATCAAGGGGCTTGCATCAACGCCGCGCCAGGGACGCGGCCGGCAGAGCAATCGGACCTTAGCGGCTTCGGGGGCCTGCCGACAGGGCGGGCAGGAACAGATCCACTTTGGCTTAGCTTTCTGTAGCTGTGATTGGTTCTGAGGGTCAGGATTGGAGGGGCCAACGAACCGCAAAAGCATCTTTTCTCGAATTTCGGGAAATTTTCCTTTTCGTTCTCTGTTCACGTTCAGTTGTCGCGCAGAGATGAAGGCGTTTCAGAACAGCGAACATGGCAGTTTTGTTCCGAAACCACGCCTCGATCACGTATTATATGCTTGTCAGCATGTAATGGTCTTAATGATGGACCAGGGCGCTTAATTACATGATTTTGCTATCATCAGGGGCATCTTGGTCAGCTACGGTAGGTACTATTCATTTCCTTTCCCTTCACGTTGCCACGACGGCTCTAGCTTCTTGCTAGAGCAATCTGAGTTCGATTTCTCTCCCGTTCGTTCTCGGTGGTCTGTCGGTTAGCTTTCGAGCTTTTGGGCAAAGAGCAAATGATCACGATTAAGCCGGAGTGTCGATTGTATCTTGCTGTTGAAAGACAGCGAGTACGTAGTTGGGACTTGACTTTGTTGGTCGCACATTCTTCTGCGATTAGATTAATTCTTTGTGAGAATAGTAATAACATCACATCAACAATGCTCCCTTCCTTGTTCTGTTTAAAATGAAAACGCCTTGCAATCGGTCCTTCTTGTCCCTTAACGCCTTGGAAACCGAGTCCTGTTCAACGCCTCCTTGTAATATCCCATCCAAGTTTGTAGATGCTTCAATGTCCCTCCGACCCGGACGTAGCGCGTGCGAGATGCCCACACCATGGCCAACAAGCGCCAAATGACAAGGCAGCCAGCCCAGGTCCAAGAATGCGCTCCCTAGGTAGTCACTATTTGAGCACGGTGTGAGCACCTCTGGCCTCCAAGAACTGCTCTCCCACGCCCTGCGGTAGACTTCGGATCATAGCAAACACCTCCGCGTTATGATATCGCAACCTGGTCTTAGGATCAATGTACGGTGCCGACAGCCCAGTAATATCACAGTAGCGCTTCATCGGCGCGAGACTCGGTGCGCTTTCAATGTTGGTATACGTCGCAACCGGTGCCGAGGACAGACTCGCGGCCAGCCCGTTCGATCCCTTTGCTGGCACGTTAAGGCTCTTTTCTAGCACCAGCTTAGACAAGCTCCTAGATGCCTGTGCCAGATTGGCTGTTGTGCCATTCGCGTTCGCACCGTTGGCTGAAGGTACGACTGGTGTCGAGGTTCCGCTGGTGGAAAGACTGTCGTCGCCAACCGGGGCGGGCGTGGCGGCGCCGCTGGCATCTTGGGGTGTAGCAAGAATGGAACTGGCCTCCTTTCGTTGCGCGTCGCCGAGTATGGTCTTGATGTTTTTGTTGCGGCGCTGGTTTGGTCGCCAATGGGTGTTACGAAATGACTTGTGGACGGAATGGATGTCAAGCTGCTCGATGAGCTTGAGATGTGCGGCTGCCGCAGCTTGAGCTTCTGGAGTTTGGTTTGACATGTTTGATAGTTGGCAGGACCGTTTGGGTACCTAAGTGTCGAAGAGGTGATTTCGCTCTATTGACAGTCAGGTTGGAAGGGAGAGGCGAGACTGGAGAGAGCTTCAACTTGAGGTGGTCGAGATCACAGTTCCCGTCACCCTGTAGGCGCTGGCACCGATGCGGTATGCCTGCCGGAAGGAAGCTGCTGCAGGTGTCTCGGTGTTGCCAGGTAAGTGAGCCCAGGTGCAGGGGGTTCTTAGTTCTGCCGCGTCATACCGCCCCACTTTCTAGGCGGGTTACGTCTTCCATCGCGTTTTATGGCTTGTGAATGCCCCGCCAGTTGGTCGCGTTTAGTGCACGCATGGCACATGTCAGTGCAGTGCCTGTAACATCGAGAACCCTTTTGGACACACCTTGCCTGGTTCTGTAGCTCTTGTTGACACCATCACCATCATCAATCTTGGGTTCATACGTGGATGTACGGCTTTGACTACCTACACAATGGTTTGTAGAATTTCATTCCACGTTGTTTTGTCTGGGATTCTCACATACAGGAATCTAGGAGAGCCCTCATGAGCATCAACAGAACTTGCTGCTGTCACGCATTATTACCAACGTGGTAAGCTCTCCAGTTGCTAGCACGGTTGTGATGCACGACCTAACAAAGACCACCGGGACTGTCACTGATGCTCACGTCAAAATTTGTTAGGAAAAACTCAACGAGGCTGTAGTTGTAATGAACAAGGCTTTGCAGGTAACTTTGGTCACAAATCGACCTTGACGTTGTGTGTTTACTAAACTGTTCTTTAGGAAATCAACATCCAAAACATGAACATTGAGCTGGTTGCGCAAATGTTCAAGAACTACCAGTCTAACGTGCTATTTCACCTTGAAGGTATGTAGCAATCGCGCCACAGTGGTTTCTCCAGAACCTCCACTTCCAGGTTGTCCTCAATGCTTATGCTAACTCTTCGAATGTAGCTACTGACAACCTGAAAGAGCCGTCTTGATATTCTCTGTCGTGGTCGTTATCGAATCAAGCTTACCTATCTCGGGGAAAGATAGCGGAATCAAAGAGATACCCAACAGACATCATTGAAATGAAATACCATACTTGAAGTACCTCTACACCAGGTAACTGAACTCTGATTGTCATACAAGTCCTATTTTCAACTTAGTTGCTCCCCCATATCCACCCCTTGCATGAGGATGCCGCTCCAGGTCCCAGGTCGCTGTAGCTTAAAAGGTGGAACGCGCCAAGCCGCGCCACTATAAGACGGAACGTCAATGGGACACCACCCGCGACGGGACTTTGAGGTTGTGGCAGGCAACAGAAGCACCGCCGGACAGATCGTTGCCAACACTCAGTCGCGTCGATAAGTTGCTGCTTTCCCTTCTTTCCACTTTCCATCAAACGTTCTAGACACGCCACAACCGTTCAGCACCGATTCTCATTCGGTCCGATCGCCCTTTTGCCGGCCTTCATCGCCCGATCCAGCGAGGATCAGAATGCGCTTGACCCGACGAATTCCACTGCTTCAGCGCTGAGCTCCCGCCAGCTCCACGATCTTCAACCGACCGGACACACCTAGAGAATATCTCCATTCGAATATACCTTCCGTTTGAACTGCTATCCAAGTGATACTATTTCATTATGGCACCCTCCGCAGTTGATGATACTGTCAGCAGGCGGGAAATGTGGAAGACTCTTCCTGATCCCGTCCTGTACCCAGTCAAGGAAGCCAAATTCGAAAAGTACATCGAGCCACAGTCGGACGGATACGAGCGAGCGAAGGCTCAATCTGGAGGAAATCCAGCTATCGTCATAGATAATGGTAAGTGCATATCTCATGATTTAGGCCCTTCGCCTACGTAGATTCTCCCCAATGGAGCGTGGCCGACGTATGTTGCTAACCTCTATCATCGCACCTTCAGGTTCCTGGGCTGTTCGAGCGGGATGGTCTTTCGAAAATGCCCCCCGACTAGCCGTTCCCCCAATCATGGCCAAGTATCGCGATAGAAAGTTAGGCAAGACCTTTTCTTTTGCTGGCCAAGACTGCTATGCCGACACATCTGCACGAGGACACATACGGAACGCCTTCGAGGCTGGGACCGGTATTGTGAGCAATTGGGATGTTATGGAGCACGTGCTGGACTACGTCTTCTTGAAGCTTGGCATGAATGGTGTCGATGGGGCGATTGATATGCCGATTGTCATGACCGAGGCTGTCGCAAACTTGCCCTACTCGAGAAAATGTAGGCCAAACCCCCAATCATTCCCGTTCTTTCTGCTAACCATATTTCTCTGCTTAGCCATGACCGAAATTATCTTTGAATGTTACGGCGCTCCCTCCCTCACGTACGGAATTGACTCGTTGTTCGCATACCGACATAACCAAGGCAAGACCGGTATCGTTGTCTCTTCATCACACAGCGCTACCCATCTTATACCGGTTTACAACCAGAAGCCATTACTAGCCCAGGCTACGAGGCTGAATTGGGGCGGCTGGCATGCCGCGGAATATCTGCTGAAACTCATAAAGCTAAAGTACTACTATGGATTCCCCGGCAAACTCAACTCGTCACAAGCTGAGAATATGGTTCGGGATTTCTGCTATGTCTCCCAAGACTACGACAGTGAACTAGCACACTATCTGGAGTGGACTGGACTTGAGGACAGAGAACGCATTGTTCAATATCCTTACACGGAGGAAGTTATCAATCAAAAGACAGAGGAGGAGCTGGCCCGGATAGCTGAGAGGAAGAAGGAAAGCGGTCGGAGGCTGCAAGAACAGGCCGCCAAGATGCGCCTGGAAAGACTGATGAAGAAGGAACAAGAGCTCGAGTATTACAAGGACGTCCAGCGCAGAATCTTGGAACAAACGACCAAGAAGGAGATCAAGCGCATCCTTGATGATGCTGAGGTGAAGGATGAAGCCGCTTTGGATCGGATGGTCAAGGAGCTGGAAAAATCCATCAAGCGGGCACGGACCAAAGATCTTGGAGGCGAACAAGAGGAAGAGCAAGAAGCTCCCGACTTCAGCTTGCTTGATGTGCCTGATGACCAATTGGATGAGGCGGGACTCAAGCAAAAGAGGCAACAACGTCTGATGAAGTCGAACCACGATGCTCGAGCACGGGCCAAGGCTGAGAAGGAGGCAGAGAAGGCCAGGATAGCGGAAGAAGCCAGGTTGGATGAGGAGAGGCGGACCAACGATCTGGAAGGATGGCTTGAGGAGAAGCGCCAGCTTCGTCTTGCCAAGCTAGCTCAAATTAAAGAGCGCGATCGCCTCAAGGCTGATCTTGGTAACCGCAAGTCACTGGCTAACCAAATACGGATGAAGAACCTGGCAAACCTTGCCTCAGATACGCCCGCGACCACCGGTCGCAAGCGGCGTCGCGGCGGTGACGATGACGACTTCGGTGCCGATGACGCCGACTGGGGTGTCTACCGCAGTGTGGCCATTGGCGCAAACAAGGGTGACAGCGATGACGAGGAGGAAGCCGAAGAGGATCTCGAAGCGTCGGTCCGCGCGCTGGAGCAAGACTTGCTCGAGTACGACAAGGAATTCACGTATGAGCACACACTCGAAGCCCAGAACGACTGGACAAAGTCCCTCCTGCATGCCTTCCGGTACGGGCCGAGGCCGTTCGATGCAGCAGCACCAGCAGAAACGCATCGTCTCCATCTGAATGTCGAGCGCATCCGTGTACCCGAGGTGATCTTCCAGCCCAGTGCTATTGCTGGTGTTGATCAGGCCGGTATAATCGAGATTGCTGGCGATATCTTGAACCAGCGACTGGTTGGTATCCCGGGGCTCGATCGGGATTCGTTCCTCAAGGATATCTTCCTAACCGGTGGAAATACCATGTTCCAAGGATTTGACGAGAGAATGCGTGCTAGCCTTATGCCATTACTCCCGGCTGGCACCCCACTCACCGTCCGCAAGGCGAAGGATCCCATCCTCGACGCATGGAAGGGCGCTGCCGGCTGGGCGGGCAGCGAAGATTGGCAAAGGGCTAAAGTTACGAGGGAGGAGTATCAGGAGAAGGGAGCTGAGTATCTGAAGGTAAGTGGTAGTAACCATCTGCTACTATATGATCATTTCTTGCGCGTATTATTCGATATACTGACTGATTTGTACAACAGGAGCATGACTTGGGTAACGCTTTTAGCTAAAGTCAACAAAAGTCTGCTATAGTTACAACCACAAATTCACCTTGTAGGTCAAAGAAGAAATAGCTACACCTAGCATGTGACTAGAAAAGATGCTAGGTGTTAGATGTGAACATACAATCCATTGCCCACCAGCGAGGCCTAGACTGAAGAGTCTCGGTTGATAGCACTGTCGCGGAAGAGACAAGCTACTCTCACAGCCCCGAGTATTTGTGACTGAACTGCGCAACACAAAGGACGGAGATACATGTGTTCGAGCTAAAGAATATAAACTTGAACAGAAACTGAGTTGTTGGTGCATAACAACCAAGATCCTGAATTCGGAATCTTTCAGTTACAAAGACGAGCTCCTCGCTTAGGTAGCTTCCACTCACTTGGCTTCTTCGGTTGCTGCGTCTAGGCCAGATTTGGGACTTCGTTGTTCGCATTATAGGTACATATATCTCCAAGTCTAACCTTAACTAACCCAACCTGTACCGGGTATCTCATTCTCTCTGTTCTGCATAATGGCCTGGGTAAAAGAAGTTGCTAATGTTCGCAAGCTTGCCTTATTCTGTTGCAGTAACCAGGATTGTACGGGCGATCATCTAGATACGGTTGTCTATCCTGGTGTGGTTAGGCCAAATTCTCACGAGTGTCTTTGGGTTGCTGTGTGAAGAAAAAAAATCCGGTCTGGTTTTGGGAAGCCATATATGTTGTATTAATTACTTTTGATGGCACGTCTTTGATCTTCTGTTTGGAGTTTCTGAGTGGATGGATTGTTTGACCTGGAGGAGCATGGCCTTTCTTTCGATTCCGATATTCCCCCCGCTGTCTGTTGTTCTTGTTTCTTGTCTGTCACTTGTCTGGCCCAATCTGCTCAACGTTTATCGACCTGGCGGGAGATGTTGGAGAAGTAGGTTACGCTTGTTTCTGCAGCTCGAGTGACAGATAGCACGGTCTTTATTTGTTATTGGTGATTTGATCCATCACTAAGGTTTTCATCTACTCCGCAAATGATCGTCTTGACAATCAAAGGATGGACTTAGACGGAATCCACAGATGACGGTGTATATAGAAAATTGATCAAGAACCCTTTTTTGTCTATCATCCGTTTTCATCTATGAATCAATATTCTGTCTAGAGCGAAATCCCCGATCTAATACCTCCTGAACTGCTTCTCCCACTGCTCAAAACCTCTAATCATCTCGGGCGTAATCTGCCTCATCATCCCCTTAGCCGCCATCTCCAGATCCTCCATCGTTATACCTACCGCTGTATCTTCCTCAACCGAATCCAGCTTTAGATAGCGATCATAAGCCCTCGTTCCCGCCACCGCGCAGATCCCCTTAATCTCTGCGCCCGAGAACCCGTCCGTGATAGTCGCCAACCTTTCGATCTCCTCCTCACCGATCAGCATCTGCCTCTTCTCCGCCTCCTTCTTAAATATCGCCGCGCGTGCTTCTTGGTCTGGCGGGCTAACATAAATCAGCTCATCAAAGCGACCGGGCCGGAGCAAAGCGGGATCCAGCGCCTGCGGCCTGTTGGTAGCAGCCAGAACCACCACGCCCGTTAAAGCCTCGAAGCCATCCATCTCATTGAGCAAGGTCGTCAACACGTTCAGACCACTGCTACTTCCCCCAGATGTTGAGGATCCGCCATGCCCAAAACCGGCCCGCTGCCCCGCAATAGAGTCAATCTCATCAAAGAAAATCATACTAGGCGCCACCTCCCTCGCCCTCTGAAACAGCCTTCGCACCGCCCTCTCCGACTCGCCCACGTACATGTTGAGTAGCTCGGCGCCCTTGACGGCAAAGAAATTGAGGCCGGACTCGGTCGCCATCGCTTGCGCCGCCATGGTTTTGGAGCAACCTGGTGGGCCATACAAAAGAAACCCCTTGGGTGGACGGGCGAAGAAGCGAGATAACACGTGGACGGGTTCAGTGGACATGCGCACGGCGCGTCGGAGAGAAACCTTGACGGAGGCTTGCCCGCCGATATCAGACCAGTGGATGGGAGGCGGCTTGAGGTTCACGTCGTGCATGGCAGAGGGCCGAACGAGGCGGAGGGCTTCTTCGTAGTCGGAGGCGAGGAAGTAGGAGGTTGGGGTGGTGGTTGTGCTGGCGTTGGAGGGGGAGAGGTGCATGGACTCAAGGAGGGTTGATACTTCTTCTGTTGCTGGAGGTTGATCATCAAGACTGATCACGTCCTCGGTTGATGTTGGTGTTGTCGTCTTCTTTGCCCTGTTGATCCGCGTCCTTGCTATGAACTCGGCTTCGTCGACGATACGCCGGAGATCCTTGCCGTTGTAGGCATGTGTGCGTTCGCTGAGGCTGCGAAGAAGAGCGTCTTCTTCCTCGGGCGCTACGCGCAGGTTGAAAGAGGCAAGAATCTCCTTGCGGCCATCCACGTCAGGGAGTGGTAGGTACACCTCGCCTGTGAGCCTCCCAGGATCCTTGAGATCCTCGGGGACGTCGGTTGTGTAATCTAAGCAAGTGACGACGACAGCTACCTTGGGGATCTCGCCAGTTTCCTGGGCGTCAGCCCCCAAGGTGTCCAGTGCCTCGCACAGGGCCTGTATCACAGAGGTGCGGTTGTTCCTCTCCTTGTCGATTAACCTTTCTAGTTGGTCGATCAGGATGATACTAGGCTGTTCAAGTCTAGCTTTCTGGAACATGTCCTGGATATCGGCAAGCTTGTCCTTGGGCTGGATGCGATAGACTGTGCCCCATCCAGTAGCCGCAATGGTGTTTAGGAGCATGCTCTTTCCCGTGCCGTGACCGCCGTGAATCGCGATACCGCGGTACCTAGGCTTGCCCTTAAAGACCCAGGGGTCGGTGAACTGAGACAGCAGGTCGTGGAGTTTCTCGATCTGAGCGTCCAGTCCACGAACACCTGTCACCTCCAGCTTTCCCTGGGGCACTCCGTCCACCTGGCCAGCGGGCGAAGGCGCCCCTATCCTGACTTTCGTCTTGCCATCCAAATAGCGCGCGTTGCCGGTTGGCCGCCCATTCACCGAAGCCACCACGAACGACCTCTGCGGACCCCTAGCATAGAGATTCTTGAACGTCAAACCAGCGTGGACATGCTCGATCATAGAAAGCCTTCCGGCAAGGAAGAACTCCCAGCCGGGAAGATCGGACGGGTCGATAGATGCGGCAGTCTCTGCATCTTTGCCAGCCTTCTCGGGAGGTAGCTCTTCGAGGACGACCTCTTCGGCTTCGGGGAGCTTCCCTTCCTGGACTGTGACCTTGACCTGAACTCCAGCCTGGTAGCCGCATGCATCTCTAAAGGCATCATACAGCTGGACACTGGCCTTGTCTATCCTCTCTGGCGATTTCCATAGGGTTGCCTCCCGTCGCACGGGCTGGTCTTCAGAAGAGTTCTTATCGATCTTCTCAATGGTAATTGCCCGTCCTCCGTCTTTGGATCCGGTCAGCTCGAGCAGAGCCTCCTCGTTGACATAGACTCGCGATGGTTGTTTCTTTGCAAGGTCCTTTTCGGTGGTGCTGTTGGCCTGCAACTTGCGCACCTTGAACTCGAGAGATTTCGTCCCCATGGTGTCACCGTGTCTGTGGGCTGGGCGAGATCCGGATAGGAGCAGTTCACTGTCTCCGTCTTTCTCACTTTGGTCTTGGTGGACCTTGATGTCCAAACTTTATTGTAGAGTTTGTTGAGTGGGGTCTTTCGGAGGGCCCGTCGACATGGATTGCCCGGCTTGGTTCTAGACTCGGAGCACAAGCAGAGTTCAATGGCCCGGGAACTGCCTTGGAACACGGAGCCTCAGCTCCGGTCGCAATCACTGTCTTTTTGTCAAAGTCCGACTTCATCGCGGCTTCTTGTCTCCAAAAGTGACGGCTTCCGATTTTGAAGACCGGTGATAAGTGGGGCCGGAAAGCCACTCTGAAAGATTCCCGTACCTCTTAGTACCTACACTAGTGTACCTAGACAGGTACCTCTACTTGCACGATCACATTACATAGCGCTTGCCCTACGTATCCAGTACTTTCCCACGCCAGTACCTGCATCTGGCTGATCTTAGGACGCCACTTAAGGTTCTCGTTCGTCCCAAAGCCTCGAGGTTTCTTCTTCGCTTCCTTCCAGGGCTAGGGTTAGGGGTAGCTTGCCGGCGGCAGAGCTGATGGCGTTGCGGGGGGATTGATCTCCAACGATTCCCAGCACGAGACATGAGGGGAACTCAACTGGAGGGGAAAACAAACCAGGAGCTCATTCTTTACACTTTTGACGTTTTTTTCCTTCTTTGACTTTTATCATTCCCCTACTCCGTGATTCTAGCTTCCCTCTATGGTTTGCGCTCGGCGTCCACGACCTTGATGCTGCCGAGAGGACTGCAGTTGTCGCAGTCCTTCAACCGGTCATGCGTGAGACTGCCCATTGCCCGATCTGCGACCACCCCCTCCATCGCCTTCTCCACGTCTGCGACCAATTGCGAAAAGAGACCGCATCACAATCAAGATGCGCAGTTTGACCGGGGAGCCAGGAATGGGAATGCGAATGAGACCGCCAAAAGACAGACGTCCGATGAGAGGAGCCGCAGGGCTCCCATAACTCCGCGACAGGCCCGTTATCTAGATCAAACTGTCCGCTCTACGACAACAAACCCTGAGGGGCGACACGAAGAAAATGCAACTCAGGCCCGTCCGCTGATACGAACTGTTTCCTTCTCACCAAAAAAGACCCGTCCGCTAGTACGATATCATGATGGGGTGCACCAGGAAAGGAACGCCAACTCGCGAAAAGAAGAGAATGAACTACAAGCTCCCTCGAGAAAACAAGAGTCCGAGCAACAACTCCGGTCAATTGCTCGAACCGCTCGCTTCTCACTAGAAAGCGACAACGTCTTGAAAGATGGACCTGAGTTAAAGGCCCGTCCGGCAGTACGAATTATTCGTCACCTAGCCAGAGACCCCATCGAGAAGACAGACAAAGAACCCAGGTTGCAGGCCCATCCGTCAGCACGAAATCTTCGCCGCTTGGCAAAAACCCCCAGCGAGAAAAGAGGAGAATATGAGCTACAGGTACCTCCAGCAGCTCGACCTGTTAATTGGCGAAAAGAAGACTTCCTTGGAGAAAGGACTGCAGATTCTCGGTTGGATTCTGTGCCAGCCAAGCAGCCAACATGGGCTACCTCTCCGTTGGAAAAACCCAAGCGGAAAAGGAGAAGCGCCGAAGCCTCTGGAGCCAGAAAGGATACAGAGACCAGCTCGGAAGAGGTATTTCCTTCGCAAAGCGAGCTTCAAGCGTGGTTCAAAGAATTCACGTCCGAGCGATCCAATTTCGAAGCCACCGCTCAGTCAGTACCACTGGAGCTTCTCCAAATGCGTGTCAAAAAATCCTCTGAACATGACAAGTTGGAGAGCGAGGAGAAGATGAGGAGACTTGAGGGAACGGGGTTTTCAGGGCCTATAAAGATGGACCCCCGCCATGGGACTGTCGGGCCCATCACTCTTCGTCAACCTAGGGACGAGTTCGACACTCTGGTGTCCTCAGTCGACATGGAGGAGAAACCAGCAGTCGACCAGAGCGACGAAGACGGCGGGCCAGCAATCATTGTGCTTGACTGTGTCTCCCGGTCCCTTCTAGAGTCCGACTTTCGCCACATTGCCGGTCATGGCCAGCATGTGGACGGGTGGACTTATGGCCTTGTCAAGGGTACGTTTACAAGACTCGTGTGATATACTGTAGCGTCTTGGGTTCGTTGGAACCACCTGCGACTTCGCAATACTGACATTAAATCCTCTGACCAGTTGTCCAATCCCGATCCCGAACTACACATGAACCACAAGGCTGTTATTTCCTCTTCTTTGACAATGAGTCCAATGCTCGAGCATACATCAATGTTCTGGAACGCTTGCATAATAAATCACGTCAGCGTTTGCCAAAAGAATGGCGACAGACGACCACGGCCACGCCGACATCGGTTCAACCTGCTGGGGAGTTAGAAGGCTCAGAAGATGTTGAAGAGAGCGCCGACGAGCTTCCGGACGTGGATGAACAGCAGGGGGGCGGCCTCGGCAAACCCAGTGAATATGCCGCCGCCACTTCCATCCCAGACGATGACGGCCTGGACGCTGCACGCTACACCTTACTGCCCCCTACAGCGCCCCTGCATTACCAAATCTTCACCAGAAACAACATCCTCGAATTCGAGAACATACGGGAGGCAAGTAAGGGCCTGCGGCCTCAGCAGCTTCTCTCACAACCAAAATCCAAGCGTAGCGGAGCAGGCTCCTTCATATCCCCGCCTCCCAAGGACCTCATCAACTACGCCCAAGACCCACAAATAGAGCATAGCAGAAACAGCGCCCTAGTGCACCTGGTCGGGGCCAAAATGACCATCCGGGCCTTGCGCACCGCCATTGAAATCGACTCCGAGGCGCGTAACTATCCGTGGCAATTGCTTCAGGAGGAAGAGCCAGCGGCGACGCCGTCTACAACAACAACAAGGAAGACGACGGAGCAGCAAGGAAAGGATGAAGAGGATGCAGCAATCAAGCCCATCTTATCCACGCTCTCCACCATCAAGTTCAGCAAGTTCAACGAGTACAGAATCGAGCACGAGCTGGATGAGTTCTCGGGCGGTCAGATGGATGAAGGGGAAATGCGCGGGTTTTCACGGTTCGTGGTCTCGTTTGCGGACGTGAGTGAGGCTAGGAGGTTTGTCAGGACGTGGCACAAGAGGGAGATGCTGGATCCGAGGACTGAGAGGATGGTGCTTGTTAATGTCACGTCTCTTTGGTAGGGCAATTTTCTAGTATTAATGTGGAATGCAGTTAGGCGCGTGGGTGTAGATCACGTTGTTTGTATATGGAGGGATTTGTATAGGGGTATGAATGGGTTCAGTGTACTATTCCATGTATATTATTTCCTCGATCTTGGATAGAGAAAACTAGCCATGGCGTCTAGACAGGTCAACCTCGTTCCTTTTCGCTTTGGAAACGGACACACGCTCGGTCTCCAGGCGGTATGTGCCACAAAAATAACGAAAGGGGTCGTTTAGATCCCCTGCCCCCCGCGCCCCTCCTAGACTCTAGACCTATTGGACATTGCCTTACCTTGGCTTCCAAGTTGTGAGATTGTCCGGTTCACGTCGTACAAGTGATACAGTGCCCTCTCTTTGTCGTTGTTGTCCTCATCCACTGTGTTGTCGTATCCTGCCTGCCCGCCCTGAGGTCTTGACTTCGTTGCCTACCCCAAACTGGACGCCGTCCAACTCAGTGTTGTGCCCCCGGTGAATCGACCAACGAATATGTGTCTGGGACTTAGGAGCCGTCATCTCATCCTCTTTTCGTTCTTGAGTTTTCTCTGACCGGTCTTACCGTCTCTCACGACTCACATGGCTGGTTTGCCTTGTTGTCGTCAGGAATCGCCAAAGCAAGCGAATGGACTTGATCTGGGATCGGTTAGGGCTATGGGCGGGCACGAGGGGATCTGGACAACGTACCCAGGCTCCCAGGCTCCCCTGGTACCTATAATTTCGAGCCCCTGTCCCAGTATTTTGGAGCTCGCTAGACAAGGACAGCCAGCTTTCTTCTATTCTGCCTCAAAACGTAAAACTCACTCACCATGGACTGACACGTCTTCGAGTTAAATCAGAAAGTCCAAGCATGACTTGACCAATTTTAAGGAGCGATTGTTTTTTTTTTGGATTGGATCTGGGTAGATTTGACTTGCTGGGTGGGATTTCTGGTTGTTGTGTAGGTACTTGCTTTTACCCAATTTTATCATCCATCCCATGTCATGAGCGGTCGGGGCAAGCAGCCCCTTCCGTCCACCCTTGAGCGGGAACTGGGGGGCAGCAGGGCAGGCATGGATGTCTCCCGCGGGGATAGGCAGTGGAAAATGCCGTGCGTTGCGGGACTGTGCCTGGGGACGGGGGAAGGTCTTTGAGCGCATTCTTTAGCTGGCTAGTATGAAAAGCGTACATGGCTAATATAACCCACTTTTACAACGCTGAGTAAGCGCAGCCGCCTAGCCCAGCCCAGCCTAGCTATTATATTACACTGTGTAGTATTGCTGCCCAACCTTCGCCGGCGTTGCGTAGTTTGTTAGTGACCGTCAGTCGTATGTGTAATTGATTAAAGCTATTGCGAGACTTTATTCTAGCATTGTGCAATTGTTTTGAGCGATTATCTTATTATTTTCATTATTATTTCGTGGAGTGTTATCGAACTTGTAGTATTTGTTAATAGACCTCGCCTGCCTACCGTATGTTGCGTGTTTGCTTGAGTAAGTTAGATTGTAAGCTTAGCTAATAAAGATAATTATATTTAACTGTTATTTAATAGATTTGCTCGCAAAAATAATACCTAGTCCGTTTCGAGTAATTACTTTTAATTGGAGTATAACCCCCTTTGCCAAAATCCAATTATTATTAATCTGCCGCTAGTATAAGCTATTGAGATTAAGAATACAATTACTGTCCCCTAGCGAATACACTACCCGCTAGCTACTAGTAAGACTATTATTTACCTCCCTTGGCTATAATAATAAGGTTGTTGCCTTTAATATATTATAAGATTATTGTATAAAGTAAAATTTTATAATCGTTTTTCGTAGTAATATAAAGAGTAAATTGAAAGAGGATGTAGGCGTTATTATATAAATTGATTACTATTATATATATGGTCGCGTTTATTAAGCAATTGGGCGAAGTATTAGAAATATTGCCTTAAAGACGCTTCAATTGCTTATATTAAGTAAAAATCGTATTGAAGAAGAGGTAAAGCAATTAGTAGTTCGTTAAAGAAATTAAAAATTATTATAATTATTCCCTTAATATTGCAAACCTTGCTAGTAATATTATTTATTAATAATAGATTCGTTATAACTATAAGGAGAGAATTAAAATAGCTATTAAAAGGTTATTTAGTACTACCAAAATGAGCGTTCGCTAGATTGTTTATTATTTGAGTAGTACTCTAGACCTTAAGGAGGAAGATATTATCGCTGCTATCCAATATATTAATTGTAATAATTTAGTATTAGAATTACGTAGTCTTTAAATCCCTATTACGGCCTAGGAAATTTATAATATTCAATACTATATTCGCTGTATAAAGTATAGTCCTTATACCTTGACTAAAATACTTATTAATTTGCTAAAATATAATAAGAACCTCTATAATATCGAATACTTTATTAATTATAATCTACTCTTTTCTAACTAATAAAGGGTATTACGGGTGTTCTAGATTTTTAATTAGTATATTAAGATGTAGAAGAAAAATCCTTATATGTTATTAATAGATAATATGTATAAGATATATAAACTATTCTTCTAGTAAACTAATTTTTTTTTATGAAATTAATTTCTTTAAAAAAAACTAACTTTTTACAAAGAAATCAAAAAAAAGTAAGTTTTTTTTGAAGAAATCAATTTTATAAAAAAAAGTCAGTTTGCTAGAAAAGAATTGCTTTACTTCATATTGTACATAACTAACTATAATTTTATATAAGTTAATTATTTTAACCTCCCCCTCCTTAACGTTACTAGTATTGATGCACTTAGTTATAACTTTAATATAGTATACGGTCTCTTAAGTAGGGAGAGGTAAGAAAACTTCTAATGGTAGCTTAATTATTTGAAGAAGCTTTAAGAGGATTACGAAATTCCTAATCCCGTAATGCTTATTACCGACTTTAATTGAGGATTTAAGAAGGCCGCTATTACCACTTACCTAAACGTATTATATTAATTCTGTATATAGTATATTATAAAGAACGTAAATTATTATATTAAAAAGAAGTGGCTTTAACTAAGTAGTGCCGAGCTAGTTCCGACCGCTGCTATACTAAATCCTCCGCCAATTGCCCGGGATTTAAATAGCTATAGCCCTAATCCCCTATTGTATATTACTCCTATTAATAATAATAGTAATAATATTAATATTAACGAATATATCGATAATAACCCTGAGGAAGAGGATCCGAAAGAGGTTAACAATACTACCGCTGTTAACCGCCTTACCTAATAACGTAATAATAGCTAAAGAGCTTATAAAGCAGTTAATGAGCCGTTAATTGAAGCTATCGCTCTATAGCGTCGTAATATACTAGTCTTTAATCCTATTTGTCGATTTTATTAAAATATATACAAAGGATTTTAAATTAGGTAGAAGTAGGTAATATATATTGACGACGAGGATTGCTTTAAGTAGGTATAGTGATTACTATACTATAAATTTAAAAAATAGATTTGTAAATTAATATATTACCTTTATTATCTCTATAATAAATGATATACTCTTTTTACCTATTATTATTATTTATTTAGTTAATAGTATCTCTCTACGTTACAACTCTACTAACTTACCTCTATAAATATTATTTACTATAGATTAATAAGTATAGTAATTACGTAGTATTAAGGTTTAAGAACTATAGTATCTGGGCAAATAGTAGAATCGAATCTTTATATAGAGCTATTAAGTGCTTGTCTAAGAATCGCCTCTCCTCTCTTAACTAGTTATATAAGCACATACGAGCTTCGTACCGCTCTCAACAAGAGAGATTTAAATCAAAATCTGTAGAAGCGAGACAATCTTATCTTTATAAATATAAAAGAATAAGAATGTTTGATAATTTAGTACTAAAAGTACGTAAATTACACTCTTTTATTATTATATTTATATATAAAGCTAGTCTCTTTTATACTTTTACCCCCCCTTACCCTTATATAGAGGTTTAATTAATTAACTTCCTTTTTTTACTTTGCAAGTAGCGCTGTATACCCTCAAACTTCTATAGTATTAATACTGCTATACGTACAACAATTAGCTTAGAAATCCCTAACAAGACCCAAATACTAATTGTAAGAAGGTATTTATAGTTTAATACAGCTTGCCCTATAAGTACTTTATCTTAAGGCTTCTGTAAATAGATCCCCTATTAGTACTAGTAATAGAGGATGTAGATATATATTAGTAATTGAAGTCTAATAGGCGTACTAAGTTAATTGAGGCTAAATAATATACCTATATAATTTAAAACCCTATTCCCTTACCCGGCTATTAATATTAAATAGTTATCCCCGATCCGGACTTTATAAATTATATATGTAGAATATCAGGACGTAACTTTATAAACCCGGAAGCTCTCGAGCTATGCAATTTTAAAGGTAATTATAGACTGCCTACTTAGCTTACTTAGCTTACCTAGCCTATCGATTGTAATTAGTATAATAATTGCTATTTACTTTCTTACAACGAGCTACCCCGCCGAATAACCTAGCGCGATGCCTAGAAGGGGGGGAGGGTACTAATTTACTAGCGCTAATCTTATACTAAAGGGATTTAATAGCCTACTTTTATTTAAAATAATATAAATTATATTACTTAGAGTATTATAGTTTAAATACCAGCCGTACTAATAGTATTAGTCGTACTAGTAGCGCTAATCGTATTAGTACTCCCTCCTCTAGTACTACTGTAGGTAATTCTAGCTCCCTTACCTTTACTTTTTTACCCTCTAATTCCTTTATATTGAGCTCTAGTTGTGACGAACGGCAGTCTGATCTGCCTAAGTGAGATAGCTGAAGGTAGTAAACTATTAGAGTCGTTTGGTGAAGCTAAAAGGTTTATAATAAGTATACGTGCGTAATATTAGTTTCGGTGATAATGATTAATTATATTGATTACTATCGAACTATTTGATAATTTGAATTCTCTAGTCGTCCTTATATTCTAACGTTTGCTATAGATGTATATAGGGCTTATTGTCCTATTCTGGGCTTATAAGCTCTTTCCTAGCTTATAAGTTCGTTATAGGCTTATAAGTTCGTTGCTGGCTTATAAGCTCCTAATATTAATTTGAGCCCTTCCTAGTTCTAGCCCCAATTTTTTATAGTATTATAGTTATATTATTTAACCTTTCCGTAGCTATTATGTTATTGGTGGTTTAGTTAGCCTATA